TTCACTTAACTAATTGGATGCTTAGTCAGCTGGAAAGAGATAGGAGGGCCCAAAATTGTTCACCCCTTGTATTTATTTAATTTTTTTTTCCGAGACAGGGTTTTTCTGTGTAGCTTTGGTGCCTGTCCTGGAACTCACTCTGTAGACCAGGCTGGCCTCGAACTCACAGAGATCTGCCTGCCTCTGTCTCACAAATGCTGGAATTAAAGATGTGCACCACCATCACTTGATTTTTATTTATTGATTGATTTGATTTTTTGTTTTTGCTTTTGTTCACCCCTTTCTAACAATGAAAGTCAGAGCCTTGTGTGGTGGCTCATGCCTTTAATCCCTGCACTCAGAAGCACTTGGTAGGCAGAGGCCTGATCTCTGAGTTCAAGACCAGCCTGGTCTACTAAGCAAATTCCAGAACAGCCAGGGCTACACAGAGAAAAGAAACCCAGTATCAAAAAAATGAAAGCAAAAACAAAACAACACACACACACACAAAAAACCCAACCCAAGAAAAAGCAAAGCCAAACAAACAAACAAGCAAAAAAAAAAAAAGAAAGAAAGAAAGAAAAGAGAACAAAGGCAAAATTGTTTTGGCAGAATTTTTTTTTTTTTTTTATCAGAAAGGCAAAATTGTTCTGGAAAACAGCAAATGACAAAGAAGAATGGAGATTTCTGATTTGAGGTCTTTCCCTCCTAAAATCCCTGAAATCCAGAGTTCAGCCCTCATGGGAGGGCTGTGAGTTCTGCCTGTGTCTGGCACAGAACATGAATCCAGCTCAGCCCTCAGCTAAGTTCACCTCCCTGTGCCCAGACCTGCTTCTGTCCTGTATCACCCTACGGGGCTGCTGGGAACTTTTTTGTGAACTAGTTGTTCTTAACCATAGCCTGTGCACCCTTGGAGTGTGTGATGACAGCAATGTAGTCTAACAGGAGACGGAACAGGCTGAAGCAATGGCTCAGTGGGTAAGAGCACTGGCTGCTCTTCCAGAGGTCCTGAGTTCAATTCCCAACAACCACATGGTGGCTCACAGCCATCTATAAATGGGATCTGATATCCTCTTCTGGCATAAAGTCGATAGAGCTGTCATATATATAAAATAAATAAGTAAATTAAAAAAAAAGATCACTGGCTGCTCCCCCAGAGGTTTCAGGTTCAAGTCCAGGCACCCAAACAGCAGCTCACAACCCCCTGACACTCCAGTTCCCTGATGCCCTCTTCTGCACCCCACCAGCATTGCACACAAACCGTGCACAGACATACATGCAGGCGAAACACATGAAATAAATAAGCCTTAAAAAGAGACACTAGCGGCCTAAGAGGAGACAAACACTGTCAGCACAGTGCTACCTATATTGTCCCTGGGCTCAAGGACGTCCATTCAGCTGCCCACAGGTTGAAGTGTCTGCCGTCCATCTAACTCTCCGAGAAAAGGGACTTTAGTGCTGTGATCTGCTATCATGCTAGGCCGGGGATGGCTCCTGGTGCGGGCACGAGAGCTCCCTTTTCCCGGGCCACAGTAGCTATGGAGTATTTGCTCCATGTGGGTTTGTTTGTGGCTAGGACTTGGATTCCCATCCCACCCAGCCTTCCTGCACTGAGCTGAGGAGAGGAAGGGATGGTCGCTCCATTCGGGTCACAAGACCCTTGAGCCTCTTCTAGCCAGACTCCCTGCTCCTGGAGAGTGAGTGTGCAGTTCTGGGCGTAGGCGCATCTCCCCGTGGCTTCCTCAGAACCTACTGCGTTGAGTGGGTCAGTGTGGATCCTCTGCTGTGTCTTGGGGACCTACGTGTGGTCCCCAATGCTGCATGGAGAGGAGCAGTCATGACCTCCCCCCAGAGCCTTCTAGGATGTGTCGTGTGTGCAGAGGTGCGCAGGCTGATTGTCCGTGGCGAATGGCAGAAGAACGTGTGATGAGGAACTCAGGTCTGATGGTTCTTTCTCCGTCAGCCCCTAGACATCTCTGACCCCGTGGTTGCTCCTCTCTCCTCTTCAGTGGAAGGAAGCTTCTTCCTGCACTCCACGGCTCTCTCGCCTCCATCTCCTCTGCCCTGCATGCCTTCTCACCTGCTGGCTGCTTTTCTCTAGCCTGCCCGGGCAGTACCCGGTCCCCACCCTGCTCTTCTAACCTGCATGGGTCCCAGCTGCAGTGGCTGTTCTGTGTGGCACGTGCTCCCTTTCTCCCCTCCTCCCCTGCTGGCCCCACCCCTTCCAGAAGCTTCATGGGGGGGATTGGGGGGCAGGGGTATCAAGAACCCCTGGGGTGGAGGGGGGCAGGGGAATTATTCCCCTGTTTCCTGCTTTTACTAACGAACCTGCCATTTTTGTGTCTGGACTGATTTGTCTGAGGGAACAGTTGGGTTTTACTAATCTTAAGTCATTCCCCTCCCTGCCTTCCCCAGACACTTTCCTCCACTCCCTCTACCCCCACTTCCTCTCCACCCACTGCCTTTTCCTCTACTCTCCCTCAACTTCTCCCCACCCACCTGGCTGATCCCCTCCTCAGCAGACCTCCCCATGTTCCCTATCTCCTGCTAGCCTTTCCCCAGCCCTATGGGGTCAGGAGAGGGAGATTAAGGTCAGCCTTTCTCAACAGCGCCCCCTCCATGATTGAGCTGAATGTAGCCACCAGGCAAGCTGAGATTTACTTCCAGCCTGGAAAGGGATTCAGGGCGATGTTTTGGGCCTCCGCAGTCTGCTCCAAGTCAGGTCCTTTCTAACTCAGATAGGGCCAAGAAAGGGCAACCTTGGTCTTGGCAAACGTAGTGGGATGAAGAGTGCCCAGAGCGTGAGGGAGATTCCAGGATGGTGCCCTGGTTTCAGAGGCCAGGGATGGAGACTTCCTGAGGCGCTTTGGGGTCAGGAGGGGGAAGGAGGAGTGATGAGCCCTGCTGAGCACCGTCACTCAGGTGAGGCTCTCTCACCAAAGTAGGCTCCAGGGAGTAGGTTTTAGCTGGAGAGCCCTGCACTGGGTCACAAGACAACTTTGTGTGGACCTTCTGGGCTGTGCTGAGGTTAGTGGGCTTCCAGGGACATGGCCATGCCAGATGTTTGCTGGCACCCTGATTGGGTTGAGCCCACTTAGGTGCAGGAACTGATTGGCCGCCCAGTTCAGTCTTCTAGGACAGCAGCAGGGGACACGGAGGAAGAGAATGAGTGCAGTCAGCGCACTAGGGAGACCCCCCACCGCCTCACCTTCCCTGACTACCCCACCCCTTTATTCTGACCCCTTCTTCCTCTCTCCAGTTCCCCTCCACCCAGTCTAATCTCTAACCTCGTTTGCATGGTTTTTGTGACTAACCTCTCTGACCCCTCCCCTTTCTACCCAAACCCCATTTCCTAGCTTCAGGACAAAGTGGAGGGGGAGAAAAAAAATAAATAATCATGACCAATTCCCCCTTCAAACAAGACTCAAAAGTATTCAGACTGCCCCCTCCCCAAACACCTGTCTCCTCCTGTCCTTGAACCCAGCTCTTCTAGCACAAGGTTTGATGGTTCCCAGGAGGTGGCCTCTTAAGTCTGCGCTCTGCTCAGCCCCCACCTCTTCACCACGAGGCTCCAACCAAGCACGAGGGGGGCTTTTGGGTCCCCCATTTTAGGATTTCCACCCCATCTTCCCGACAACAGAATACTGAAGACCAGCAGCTGGAAGGTGGCCTGTGCTACAGATCGGAGCAGGGGACATCACAGCCTGTGACTGGCAGGTCCTTACTTCAATACCTTACCTGTAAAGGGGGTACTTTTGAACCATATTTGGGGAGCAAGAAGTGCTCTAAGCTGCAGCCTATGGAAGTCCAGGATGGGGCTGACAAAGACCAGGTCCTTAGTGGCCCCTTGACTCTCCTGAGCCACAGCCTCCTAGAGAGAGGCTTGTATTACCACTGCTATTGGCTCCTCTCCTTCAACCTTGCAGTGGGTGGAGCCTAGCGCTCCTCTGGGGCACTAAACTCTTCAGGGAGCAGGTGAACCTTTGCTGAGTAGGGGAATCAGCGCTGCCTTCTTCAGCCCAGTGCCCAGGACCTCTTCAAACACCAGGCACAGCCCTGCTTTTGACATCTTGCTTTTTGGATGAATTTCCACCTTGGGGATGGTGTTTCCTTAGGTTCACCCTGGCTTCACTAGGGGTAGGGGTAGCACAACAGGAGAAGGATGAGGTGTGAGCCGGGAAATAGCATAGGGCCACTTTCTTCTTTGAAAGAAAGTGGCTCACCTAGGTGTGCAATCTCAGCACACGAGAGGATGAGGCATGAGGATTACCACAAGTTCAAGGCCAGTTTAGGTTTTATAGACTAGGTATGTTTTTTAAACCTTAGTTCTAGACTAGTTTAAGTTTTTCTAAAAAATGACCAAAAATATCAGGGTACCGTAGAACTTGAGTGACAGAGGTAGGAGCCAGCCCTGACAGATGTCAGCCAACTCCTGTCCTCCTCTCTACTGTCTCAGCTGCCTCCCCAGCTGAGGTTGCAAGAACACAGTACCCAGACAGAAAGGCTGCAAGAACATAGTACCCAGACAGAAAGGCTGCAAGAACACAGTACCCAGACAGAAAGGCTGCAAGTGAGTCTCAGCCTTGCTCCCCAGGAAGGGACAGGTAGGAAGGGGAAGGAAGGGCTCTTCCTTAGAAAGTGGCCAGGAGCTCACGCATGCCCACAGTGCTCTGCTGAGAGAAAGCTGAGGGTGTAGCTTGCTTTGCCCCACATCTCACAGTGGGGCCCTCTCTGAGGCCTCCTCCTTGGAGTCTCTTCTTGGGCCCATCATGGCGAGTGCCCAGTCTCGGCCATGGGTCATGCAGGGCAGGCCTAAGCCTACCCCGAAACCATCAAATCTGTGCTGCTTCCTCTTTCTCCTTCCCACCTCCACCCCCACTGTTCCACCTCCAAGACAAGCAGACATAAAAATGGGGGTCCCCTCCCCCACTGCCCCCTGGTTCCTCCCTTGCCCGCCTGTGGCTCGTCCCAGGGCGTTGATGTCGGTTGTCTCCTGTCTCTCCTCCCCTCGGGCTGGGCAGGTGACCATCTCGGTGGACGGCATCCTGACCACCACAGGCTACACCCAGGAGGACTACACCATGCTGGGCTCGGATGACTTCTTCTACATTGGGGGCAGCCCCAACACAGCCGACCTGCCTGGCTCGCCCGTCAGCAACAACTTCATGGGCTGCCTCAAGGACGTGAGTAGGGGCTTAGAAGGGCTACAGTTGACCAGTCTGCCATGGGACTTAGTCTGAACTGGCCAGCTACCCCTGGAGTCCACGGTGGGACTGTAACCCTCCATCGAAGCCTAAAGCTATTGACTCAAGTCCAGAGGGATCAAACTTTTTGTTTCTTCTGGCCTCGGAACTCCCCTCGCCTCTGAGGACCTTCAGAGCGGTGGCGCCCAGGGAAGGCTGGTGGGCACGAAGCCTGAGGCTAAGCCTAACCTCAGTCACATGTCTTTCACTCATGGCTCTGTTGTCTTGACCAAGTCACTTGATCTTATGAGTTGCCTGACCTGTAGACAAAAGGTTGGTTCCTACTTGGGTCTTCGGCAGAACACAGGAGAATGTTACTATCCCCTGGAAGACGGCCAGCAGGGACTGGGACAGACGGCAGCTCAGGGGACAGGGCACCTGCCTGGCACCATCAGGTCCATGCACTCTATCAGAACCACATCTGCTGAGCACGGTGCGCATCTGTAGGCCCCGCACATGGGAGGTAGAGTCAGGGAAACAAATTTGAGGTCATCCTCAGCGAGGCAGTGAGTTTGAAGCCATCCTGAGCCACTTGAGACCCTGTCTCAGAAAACAGCAATAGACAGTAGCAACAGTTACCCCCCTTGTCACTGTGAGTGACTGTTGAGTTGGACCCAGGAGCTGACAGAAGAAGCTGCTTGGCCAGCGTGGGGCTGGAAGACAGGACAGGCAGCAAGAAGAAGGTGTAACTCGAGAACAGGGGCCTGGGCTTTGTGGACCGATGGCGCCGAGTGTGGGGGCCGTGAGCATGGTTGACGGCCCATGGCTGCCAGGGAGGGAGGGCCCTTGGTAGCCAGACCCAAGGCTGCTTCTGCTTCTTTACCCAGACTCCTCTCGTCTTTCCAGGTGGTCTACAAGAACAACGACTTCAAGCTGGAGCTGTCCCGCCTGGCTAAGGAAGGGGACCCGAAGATGAAGCTGCAGGGGGATTTGTCTTTTCGTTGCGAGGATGTGGCTGCCCTGGACCCTGTGACCTTTGAGAGTCCCGAGGCCTTTGTTGCGCTGCCCCGCTGGAGCGCCAAGCGCACTGGCTCCATCTCCCTGGACTTCCGAACCACTGAGCCCAATGGGTTGCTGCTCTTCAGCCAGGGCCGGCGGGCTGGGGCCGGGGTAGGCAGCCACAGCTCTGCCCAGAGGGCTGACTACTTTGCCATGGAGCTGTTGGATGGTTACCTCTATCTTCTGCTGGACATGGGCTCTGGGGGCATCAAGCTGCGGGCGTCCAGCCGCAAGGTCAATGACGGCGAATGGTGCCACGTGGACTTCCAGAGGGATGGGCGCAAAGGTCAGGAGGCCTCTGGTCCCTCCCTCCCTTCCCTTGGTCACTCTTCTATACCTGCCCAGCCTCTCAAGCTTTCATTTCCTGCTCCTAGTCTCCTCTCCCAGTCCTTTGGACCTCCCGTCACTGTGAGCTGGCAGAAGACACAGGACCGCTCTTCCCCAAGGGTCGTGTGGATGGGAAAGAGCACATCTAAAAACACTAGCATAGCACCTAGCAGAGATGTCCCATGTCTTGAAAAAAATAATTCTCAAAGCCAGGAGTGGTGACTCACACATGCAGTCCCAGCACTCAGGAGACAAAGGCAGGATTGTCGTAAGTTTGAGGCCAGTTTGAACTATATAGTGAGGTCCAGACCAGCCAGGGCTGCATAGTCAAAACAAAACAAAGAAAGTAGCTTTACAGCTTTATCTGGAGCCTTATTTCTTTAGCTTATAAGGAAACAGCTATCCCCACTGTCTGAGAGCATTGCTCCTAGGACCCCCAAAGACATCAGAATCCTCTATGCTCAAACCCTGTATAAAAGGTGCTATAGCATTGCATATCACCTGTACACACCTTCTGGGTAACTTACGTACTCTCTCAAGTCCTCAACATACCCGATAGAAGGTAGACACTGGGGCTCAGCTGCTGGAGTGCTTGCCCAGCATTGGTGAAGCCTGGGTTCCATCCCCAGTGCCCCATTAACCAGGCATGGTGGTGCTTGCCCATAATCCCAGTACGGGGGAGGTAGAGGCAGGAAGATCAAGAGTTCAAGGTTACCTTCAACTGCATAAGGGATTTGGGGCTAGCCTTGGTTGGAGAGAGAAAGAGAGGGAGAGAGAGAAAATATAAATGCTATATAATAGTTACATAATAGTTTTTGTGATGGTCCTTATTATGTTGTTTGGTGAATAAGGACAGCAGTATCCGTCTGTGTTTAGTTCAGACAATTCTTCCCTTGAATATTTCCATCCATGTTGGGTTGGATGAATGCAGAGCCTGAGAACACTGCAGCTGCATGGTTCTCTGAGAACTAACTGTGGCTGACAGACTGTTCACCTCATTCTGGCCGTCAGAGACGCAGTGACTAGGCCGCCACACCTGTCCGGCCATGAGAGTTCCAGATCAAGGGGGGGAGGGGTAGCTGGCTAGGCTGTACCTGACCCTGCTTAGCCTCTGGGGCTGAATGGCGCTGGATATATGCTGAGTGGTGTTGTTCTAGCCGCCCTCTCCTCCGTGCGTCCTGTTCAGCCTCCCTCTCCTGTCCAGGCGCTTGTTTGCTGTCTGCTAATTCTGGCGTGCTTGCCTCCATCTCGTTGAACCTAAGTAAGAGAATTGAGACAAATGAGGCCTGACACATTATCTCATTTAAGGGCTTATCAACGTCAGCTAAAATTTCACATTCCTGCAGCTGTCACCGCTGCTGACCTGAGAGTCAGGTGGAGTGACCGCATCTGCTCACAGAGAGGAGGGGACTGCTGGGCTCCCCATCCCTCTTCCCTCACCACAGAAATCCATGAGCGAGGACGCTAGCCCTGGGCTCTGCCCTCATGACAGTGATGGTGGCTCTTCACTGACAGCCTCTAGTGGTCCCCACAGGTGGGCAGTCATCCTCGGGCTGGACATCCATCCAGGAGCTTGGGGAAGCTGCTTAGACCGTTCCCCGTTTTCCTACATCCCCACACCCCAGTGTTGGCATTGAGCCTAGGGCCTGCTCCTGCTGAGCCACACCCCAGACTCCCTTTTCCTGTTTTTATATATTTTCTAATGTGTCTTATGCTGCAGCATGTGTGCAGAGGTCAGGGGACATTTTGGGGAGCTGGTTCTGGCTTTCCCCCTTGTTGAGAAAGGTTCTCTCTTGTTTCTGCTGCTTCCCAGCATACCCCAGGCGAGTTGGCTTCTGGGTGACTGTCTCCATCCCTCATTGTGACCTAGGAGTGCTGGGACCTTGGTCACATGCAACCACATCTTTATGTGTGTTCACAGGATCCAGCTTGGGTTGTCAACTTTGCCTCGCAAGTGCCTCATATGCTCATCTGTCTCCTTGGCCCTCCACGGTTGTGTTACATTTAGTTCTTTTTAGTTTGTTTCTGAAACTGGTAAATTGCATATCACAGTCTTAATCATTAATCGTGATTGGGACATTGATTCCACTCATGTTGCTGCGCAGCCCTCACCACCATCCAGGTGCAGATTTTTCATCTTCCCAAGCTGAAATTGTCTCTATTAAAGATAAGCACTCCTCCCCCCGCCCTGCCTCTGGCCACCATCAATCTGAGACTTTAGATTAGTGAAGTCACATGGTATTTCTCTTTCCTCCTCTTTTTCCATCCTCACGTGTTTATGTCCATGTTTGTGTGTATATTGGGGCACCTGTATGTGGGTGCACATATGTGGAGATTTAAGGCTGATGTCAGGAATCATTCATCTTCTTTAATGAGGTAGGATCTCTCAATCAAACCCTGAGCTCACAGATATGGCCAGCCAGCTTGCTCCGGGGATCCCTTGCCTCTGCCTTCCAAGGCTGAAATTACAGGTGGGCTACTATACCCACTTGGCATTTATGTGAGTTTCTGGGGATTTGAACTCTGGGCCTCATACACGAGGAGCAAACACATTAAGCACTGAGCCATCTCCCCAGCTCCCCTTTTTTGCCTATTTACCTTCCTTCCTTCTGACCCAGGGGCTTGCATCTAGCCCAGGCTGACTTTAAATCAAGATCCTGCTGCCTTAGCCTCCAGAGTACTGGGATGCGCCACCGTATCCGCCTTGTGTCTTCTTGTGCCTGGCTGTTTCAATGGGTACAGTGTCTTTCGGGGTTCACCTGTATTGTAGTGTGAGTCAGACTCCCTTCTTCTGAAGTCTGAGTAAGTCCCAGGGCCATGCTCACACCCAGTTTGTCTGTTCTCCCGTCAATGAATGAGTCAGGTTGCTCGTGTTTTGTATTTGGAGTGACTGGAGCAGAGGCCAGAGCACACGCCAGTCTCCTCTCCAGAGCTGTCTGCTCTGCTGAACACCTCTCTTCTTAGCCTTTCTTTCCTGCCCTCTTCTCCTCACACTCAGTTCTTGCTGAGATTCCAGCAGCCAAAGCATGGGTGACAGGAGGCTCTGCGGATTCTGGGCGATCCTGTTAGGGCTTAGCAGGTAGAAGCTTTTACTGGTCAGGTCTGATGGCCCGAGTTTGTTCCCCAGGTTCCTCAGTAGAAGGGGAGAACTGACTCCTGAATATCATTCTCTGTCCTCATACACATACACAGCACATACATCACAGCACACACACAACACACACATCGCAGCACACACAGCCATTACAACACGATATATCACAACACATACAGCACACACATCACAACACACATACATCACAACACACATACATCACAACACACATACATCACAACACACACATACAATACACATATATATCACAACACACATCACAGCACATACATCACAGCACACACAACACACAGATCACAACACACACAACACATACACATATATCACAGCACACACAGCCATCACAATACATACAACACACATCACAACATACATCCATCACAACACACATATATATCACAACACACAGATCACAACACATCATAACACACATATATCACAACACACAGATCACAATACACACATATTGCAAAAACATACATACCTCACCACACCCACACCCACCCACACCCACCCCCCCNNCCCTCCCCCCCCCCCCCCCCCCCCCCCCCCCCCCCCCCCCCCCACACACACACGCTTTAGGGTCTGGAGAGAGTCCACCTGCTGCTCTTTCAGAGGATGTGAGCTCAGTTCCTAGACCTCACCAGAAGGCTCACAACCACCTGTAACTCCAGCTCCAGGGGATCCCACGCCTTCTTCTGCCTCTGTAGGCAGGTGCACACATGTACACATGCATAATAATAAATAATTCCTTGAACAGCAGTGACTTGGAGCTGGGGAGGTGGCTTAGCAGTGAATGATATGTTTTGCTTTAACAGAAGACCTGGGTTTTCCGGGTTCCCAGCACACGGCGGCTCACATCCACACACACATGCAGGCACACACATATACACAAGATAAAAGTAAATAAATCTTAAAACAAAAGACTTTACAAGAAGCCTGGCATGGTAGTGCACACACCTTTAAGCCCAGCACTCGGGAAGCAGAGGCACGTGGCTCTCTGTGAGTTCAAGGCCAGCCTGGTCTACAGAGTGAGTCCTAGGACAGCTAGAGCTGGTACACAGAGAAACCCTATGGGGGGTGTGAAGACTTTACAAGGGAGCCCAGGAGATGGGTAGGGTTTTGAAGAAGGGACTGGCTGCTAGTAGGAGCTGCGTCTGCAAAGAAGGCTTCCGCTTTGCTCCTCGAGTTCCATCGACTCTGCTCAGATCTGACCTCTCCCCATCCCCCTCCCTTTCAAGATGCCCACCGTACTTATGTCTCAGAGGCCCAGTGGCTCCTTATCACTCCTAAACCTTGCTAGAAGCTTTGCTTTTATTTATTTTTTTTACACAGGATGGCACTATGTAGCCAGGTTGGCCTCAAACACGTGGCAGTCATTCTGCCTCTACCTCCTGAGTATTGGGCTCATAAGTGTGAACCGCCATGCCTGGTGCCACCGCTGCCCTGACCCCTTCCTCCTTTCTTCTTTTAAGAGTTTGTCATTGAAAAGGGAAACACGGGATAAAAAATATAGGGCTCTCAGGCATAGTGGCACTTGCCTTTAATCCTAGCGTTCAGGAGAGAGAGGTAGGTGGAGCTCAGTGAGTTCAAGGCCAGCTTGGTCTACAGAGCGAGTTATAAGCAGCCAGTGCTACACAGTAATTATATCACACACACACACACACACACCACACATACCACACATACACAACACACAATCCACACATACACAACACACACATACCACACACACCACACACACCACACATACACACACACCACACACATACCACACATACACAACACACATACACAACACACATATACCACACATACACACCACACACATACCACACATACATAACACACACATACCACACATGCACACATACATACCACACACGCACACACATGTAGAGAGATTGATCAGTGGTTAAGAGTGTGTACTGCCCTTGTAGAAGACCCGAGTTTGTTTCCTGGTACCCCCTCCCATTGGCTGGCTCACAATTGCCTGTACCTCCAGTTCCTGGAGACCTGATGATTCTTGCTGGATCGGTGTGTGTCTGCACTCATAGGAACATACTCTCACAGAGACATACACATGCATGCATAATTTAAGACAGATCTTCAGAGCAGGCAACCTAGCACTAGAAGGAGGGGTTAAGGCTGCCCTAGTCTACATAGTGAGTTCTAGGCCAACCAGAGTTATATAGTGAGATCCTATGTCAAGAAAAAAATCTTTAGCAAGTATTAACAAGCTTGGAACAATGGTACATGCCTATGCCAGCACTTGGGAGTTGAGGCAGGTGGATCACAGGTTCAAGGTTGTCTTTGGTGATGTAAAATCATTCTGGTCTGCATGATACCCTGATTAAAAAGTCAAAACCAAAAAAAAAAATCCTGAACCAGAACAAATGAATAGCACACACACACACACACACACACACACACACACGGGGTTGCTGGACTTAGTGACACACATCTGTAAGTTCAACCCTCTGTTAGGAGGAAGCACAAAGATTTTCTAAGTTCTAGGCTATATATAGGAATCTGGCCTATATAAGGAGCTCCAGGGTAGCTAGGGCTACATAAACAAGTCTCTGTCTTACAACCCTCCCCAACCCTCCCCTCCACACACAGAGATTCAATTATCACAGTTTCCTGCAGGATCTCTGGTCTGAGTGATCTGACCCGTTTAGGCCACAGGACTTTGGATGTATGTGCCGCCTGGATAGTTTGGAGGTCTCTTGTAGGTGGCGAGAGGGATCTGGACAGAGGTCTAGAGCCCATTGCGGCTGGGTGGGGTCTGGGACTGGCTCTCAAGCTCCTGGGCTTGAGGGCTTAAGTTAGGTAGTTTGCGCAGAGGGTAAGTGAGGCTAGACCCCAGGGCCAAGGGTCATGCTCTTGAGCCCACTGTTGGGTGCAGGATGGAGGGGGGCCTCAGTAGTGAAATTGGGACACCCCTTTCCAAATTCGACTTCTCTCCCCACTGAGGCTCACTCTCCATTGGTCCCCAGGCTCCATCTCTGTGAACAGCCGCAGCACGCCATTCTTGGCTACGGGAGAGAGCGAGGTCCTGGACCTGGAGAGTGAGCTGTACCTGGGCGGCCTCCCTGAGGGTGGCCGGGTGGACCTGCCGCTGCCTCCTGAGGTGTGGACAGCTGCTCTGCGGGCTGGCTATGTGGGCTGTGTTCGAGACCTCTTCATAGATGGACGGAGTCGAGACCTCCGGGGCCTGGCGGAGGCCCAGGGGGCTGCGGGTGTTGCCCCCTTCTGCTCCCGGGAGACGCTGAAGCAGTGTGCGTCAGCCCCCTGCCGAAATGGAGGTGTCTGTCGAGAAGGCTGGAACCGGTTCGTCTGTGACTGCATCGGGACCGGCTTTCTGGGTCGGGTCTGTGAGAGAGGTGAGCCTGGGCTTGGTCTCGGGTGTCCTGAGTCTGAAGGACCCCACTTTTCCATGCTGCACCCCTCTTCAGAGCACCCCTCAGGCCAGCCCAGACTTCTCTCCCGGTAATGACTCTCTTATTTTCTCTCTCTCTTCCCTTTCCATCCCCCCCCCCCCCCCTCCCCCCCCCCCCCCCCCCCCGTTTCTCTGGCCTCTGTTCTCTACCCCCGGGGCAGAGGCCACTGTCCTAAGCTATGATGGCTCCATGTACATGAAGATCATGCTGCCCAATGCCATGCACACGGAGGCAGAAGATGTGTCCCTGCGTTTCATGTCCCAGAGAGCCTATGGACTCATGATGGCCACCACCTCCAGGGAGTCAGCTGACACGCTGCGCCTCGAGCTGGACGGGGGGCAGGCGAAGCTCACCGTCAACCTCGGTAACCACCCCAATCCTTTGCTGGCCTCTCCCCAGCCTGCCTCTGACCTACACTCCCCTCTGTCTGGAGAAGCTGGTGGTGGCACCAGCCAGAGGTGACTCTGGCAGTTTGGAAATAGGTAGCAGCAACCTGAATCTGAGCCTCTGAGGGCTATGTCTCTCTGTCCAGACCCAGAACACAGCCACACACACCTGTCAGAATGCGTCTGAGCGTGATAACTGTCCTCTCAAGTCACTTCCATGGAGTGTTGGTGGCATCTGTCTTGCACGCACAAGATGGCACACACTCATTCTTGTCTTGCTCATTCACGGGCTTCTTCATTATGGAATTACTTGTTGACACCTGCTAGGTACAATCCTGCGCTCAGCTCAGCCCAGTGGCAGATATGAGGACAGCAAACAGCTGGCCCTGGCAGGCAGCCACACTTGGCCGTTCTGCTTAGATCATACTGTCTCTGGGATGCGGTATGCAGGTTCCTGTGTGCACTCTGGACACAGGAACATGCTACCTCACACTTGTCACGCAGCTTATGTTCATGGCCGTGTCCCATGTGAGTCCCATTGGTGTTCTGGGAAGACACCAGCTGACCAGGCAGGCATTGTAGACCAGGCCAGCCTCAAACTCACAGAGATCCACCTGCTCTGCCTCCTGAGTGCTAAGATTAAAGGTGTAATGGCTGGGGAGGTGCCTGTGTCAAGCCCAGGCCGTGGGAAGTGTAGTTTTGGGTGGGGTATCAGTTTGCTGGCTCTTTCTACCAGACTACTCACTGTCTCTGCTCTTGCCCACGGGTGAGAACAGGGTCTACGCATCCCTGTTGCTCCTCGGGGCACAGAAGGCATGCCAGGTTATCTGTTAGATTATCATGGGCCTTGGTGTTTGCGGTCACAATGGAGAGAGAAGGCAGAGTTACTTGTCTGGCTGGTTTCTAAGGGACTTCTTGTGAGGGCCAGCTATATGCCAGGTCAGGATCCAGAGTGAGGAGGCCGCCTCACAGACTACAGTGCAGGGCACCCTGAGTGGAGAGGCCCTACGGTGTTCAGGCTGCTGGTGCAGCTGTCCACTGAACACTATGGAAGTGCCACAACCAAGGACCTGCCCTGTAGAAGCCTTCAAGGCCCAAAGTCTAAGCAGAGCACCGTGCGTTCTGGTAATGGGGAAAAGGGGGGCTCTCTAGAACACCAGGGCTTTGACACCTACCCGGATTCTCATCCTACGCTTGATCTCTGAAGCATCTCTGGGGTAGATTGTGGACTTTGGAGGCCTTGTTTAGATACTTGTGGCGACACCCTCATTGCTCACCTCGATTCTCAGGTCAAGGATAGGCTGGAAGGTTGTGAGAGTTACCAGGGTCTCACGCTGGTTTGAGGCAGTACCTACAGCCCTGTTCTGACCTACAGTCACAGGTCACCGCGTGAATGGCAGATGGCAACTCCGCCCTCTCCCCAGATCTATTCCCTTGGTGCTGTCCTAGAGCGAAGGTCCTGTCCAGGGCCCCGTGTGTCCTTCTGCCTCCTTCAGTCTCCCTGCACTGGTTCATGCATGTGGTCTCACACGGCTAAGTGCTTGCCTTTGCTCTGTTTGGTGGGACCAAGCAGGGGAAGCCCATGGCCTTCATCCTCAGAGAGAAGACAGATGCTCTGGCATCCTTGGACTGTTCTTGTTTCTCCGGGAAGAAGCTGGAGTTCTTTAGATGAGAGATGGCATCCTTGGTCAGGAAATCTTGTCTTGGCAGGCCCTTGGGACCTAACCCTTGGGATTTAACCTTTTTCCACAGGCTTACCTTTCTGTCTGTGCCTCATGAATCTCAGAAGTCAGAACAAGATCCAGAGAGATCTAGTCTGAATGCCCCAGACTGATGACAGCCACCAGCCTGCGCCCTATTCTCATCTACAGAAACATGGGTGCTGAGAGCTAATCTCTAGCAGACAAAGCTGAGACCAGACACTTGGCGCAGACACATCTGTCTGCGGATTCCTCTTGAGGGCACAGAGGTGTGTAAGCACCAACTACACTCCAGTGTGGCACCTCAGCCCGGGCGGGGGACCCAAGATGGGGCCAGGTCCGTGACTTGCACATAGTGTCTCCAGTCCAGTCTAGCCCCGAATTCTGTATTCTCCATCCTGTGACCACCTAGGGCCTACTGGACTCCAGACAGGCAGCAGCAGCGAGGCCATCATTCCGGGCCGGACTCACTGCTAAGGAACTAGAGGTTTGTTGCCTATGTGTAGGTACTAGAGACACAGCGGTCTGTCCAGCTGCCCAGCCTGGAGCTGAGATGGAGAGTTCTGGGCTGGGGGTCAGAAGACCAGGGTCCAGCCCTGGAATATTTGGAGAGCTCTGGGATGGGGGTCAGAAGACCAGGGTCCAGCCCTGGAATCTTTCGTCGCTGGGTAAGTTAATTTCCCTCCCAAAGCCTGCTCTTTTCCTTTTAAAAACAGGGCTAAGAATCTTCCCCCAAGCACCCGAGGCATCAGCCTGGTGGGTAAAATGCTTGCCTTGCAAGTGTGAGGACCCGAGTTTAATCTCCAGCAATGCATTTGTAATTCCAGGAGGGGAAGCAGAGACAGGAAGATCCCTGGGGCTTACTGGCTTGCTAGTCTAGCCTGGCTGGTGAACTCCAGATCACAGTGAGAGACTGTCTCAAAAATCTAGGTAGACGGCTTCCTAGGGATGGACACCTGAGGGTGACCCCGGTTTGGCCTCCAGATCTACTCCAATGAGGCACTTCAGCGTGGGAGAGGAACCCAAGTTGGAGCCAGGTGCAAGGCCTGCTTCTACATAGCATCACCAATACAGACTAGCCCCTTATTCCCATCCTGTGACCCACCCGGGGCCTGCTGGGCTCCAGACAGGCAGCAGCAGTGAGGCCATAGTTCTGGGCTGGGCTTGCTGCTAAGGAACTAGAGGTTTGGTCTCTGATTTGTGGTCTGTGTCTGTAGAGAGGGAGGCCAGAGGTTCAGAGGTCACACAGGTAGTCAGTCACACCGTTCAGACTGTCAGGCATAGACACTCAGAGGTGGTCCTGAAGAAAGAGCAGAGGTACCAGACCAGGCCCTGGTAGAAGGGGCCTTCCTCTGACATGGACACTCTGACCACTGGGCTCTTCTTCCTTAGCCCCTCCTGGCCTTCTCAGGTCTCCCCTTGCTCCTACGTTCTCACTGGTTTTGCCCTCTTGAGCCTTGCTCATGTTTTAAGTCAGCAGGAAAACACATGATGCCCCAGAGCCCTTTAACTCCCGGGGCATGGAAGAGCCCACGCCTTCCCACCTGGGGGCTGGGAGGCTGGGAGCCTGAGTGGAGAAGACACCAGGGCCAAGTGATCCCATTCTTGATACAAAGCCTCTTGAGAGGAATGGCTGGGTGTTTTTGAAATTCCTTGCATGGAGCTGGGGGCTGGATGTCTTCACCCCACTTCCCACCCCCAGAAGTGAGTTAGACCAAGCCAGGGGACTGTGTTCTTTCCATTCATTTTGTTCTCAGTGGGCTGTTTTCTCCCCATCCACCCCACCCCACCCCACCCCACCCCACCTCACCCCACCCCACCCCATCCCATCCCATCCCACCTCACCCCACCCCACCCCACCCCACCCCACCCCACCCCATCCCATCCCATCCCATCCATGTTCATGCCGTCACCCTGATCTTGTGTCTGGCATCAGTGTGCCCATCTCTGCTCCTGGGGCGCTGGCGGCTGACTAACGGGTTCCTGGTTATCACTCTCTGAACAGCATTCTGAGGAATGTGTGCCCGCTCTCCCTGCTCTCTTCTGGGAGGAGCCTGCCTCTGTGGATACCCATCTTCAAGGGGGCTTCTGAGGGGAATCACTGCAGGGTAGGCTGGAATTGTCACCTCTTCTCTGGACAGATGGACATCCTGACACTCCTGGTATATCCTCTCCTTGGGATAGAAAAGTCAAGCGTTTTGCTTGGCCCTGTTCCTTTATAGGAGACTGACCTGCCCTTCCAGCCCCCTTTTTCTTTTTTGGACCCTTCATGGGTGAAGACTCTGCTGGCTGGAGAGAGCCCCTGGGACCTGAAACCAGGGCCTGGCACCCTCCCCCTCATCCTGACCTTCCCTCTGTTCCTGGTTCTTCCTCTTCTCTCTCTGTCCTTACTCAGCCTCCTTCCCCTCACTGTGACCCCTCACTTCCTCTTGTGTCTGTCCCTTGGTGCCCAGGCTTTGGCTCAGGGTCCCTGCTGCTCCTCCCACTCTGCTGTGGTTGACAACGCGTGTGGAGCTCAGCTGTACTGTCCGAGGCGCTTGTGACCTGCAGAGCCGCAGGGGCTGCTTACCACCACTGCAGGAACCTTCCCCGGCCCTAGGGATGCAGCTGCATCCTGGGCTGTCGGGCACCTGGGCAGAACTTGTTCATGGAGAACCCTCGTGAGGCCAGGGCCTCACTCTTCACTAGGGTTAGAGATTGTCCCCTGGAAGGCAGGGACACACCCTCAGCCTGCCCCAGCCTCTCAGCACTGAGGAAGAGAAGGCCAGGCCTCGAGAGATCTGCCTAAAGTCACACAGCAGTCTGTGTAGGACTGAGGTGAGGGCCTAGCTCCCCTGACTCATAGTCCCATCACTCCAGCCTGGCCAGTGCCCCCTAAGGGCACACTAGAACTTCAAATGACCCAGGGCTCTTGGGGGCCCGGGATGTTGGCTCTGTGTAGCACAAATCTTAATGATAAAAACTCAAAGTCAGATATTGGGGTAAATGCTGAAAGATCAGAGAGGTGAAGGAGCCGGCCACTAGACAGATGTTTTTCCCCTCTACTGAGTCCTCAGACCAAAGGGGGCAAAATCCTGTCTCCATGAATCCTCAAACTGGATGGGCTGGGCTCCTGTCTCCCGCCACCTCTCTGTGGCCAGCTGTATTCCTTTCTGTCTCCACTTTCCTAGTGCTGGGATTAAAGCACGTGACTCTCAAGTACTGGGATTAAAGGTGTGAGCCATCACCACCTGGCTTTGTTTCTCTGAGACTGGATCAAGCTTGTACAGCCCAGGGTGGCCTTGAACTCACAGAGATCTGTCTGTATCTGCCTTCTGAGTTCTACGATTAAAGGTGTGTGCCACCACTGCCTGGCCTCTATGGCTAACTAGTGACTAGCTCTGCACTCTGATTTTCCGTCACGTTTTATTTGTTAGATTACAAACAAAATATCACCACAGCTTTGTGTAAATCTGGGTTTTCTAACCATAAGAGACCCTTCCAGACTTGAGACTGGGGACAGCAATGCCAGGCCCAGGGTAGGATTGAGGACCTTGCTTGCCACTCACTTGCACTGGGCCTAGAAGTCACATTTTGCAGATCTTGGCATCCCTCTCTGAGGCCTTGACTCCTCCTTAGGGAAACTGACAAAACACTTGTTCTTCAGGGTGGAGGAGTGCGTTGACCCCTAGTGGAAGCTCGGTGCCCCCAGGGCGGGGTAGATGGAAGGAAGGTTCCTGTAGGGGTGGTGCCAGCCACTGGGGCTTTGGGAGGTCTATGGCCTTAGGAAGGGGGCCCTGGGGCAGACCCCTCTTTTGAGCTTAGAGCTTGAGGAGTGACTTGTCACACCTGAGCTCTAAGCAGGGTGTCATCCCAGAGCAGGGGATGCAGGGACCCTGGCCTGCCCTACCCATATCCCTCCCAGGGATTGGGTAGATGTGGGGTCGGCCAAGCCCTCATCCCCTGGCTAGCCCCTGTACGGCTGAGATTCCCGAGGTGCCCGTCTCCCTCAGACATGAGAGGCCTGGGCCCCTCAAAAAGGGGCACACAAGCCCTCTTCCTACCACCTGACTGCCCTGCCTCTTGACTTTGGGAAGGGTTAAAGCCCTCTTGGGGGCAGGAAGGACAAGGGTCCAACTGAGGAAGGGGAAAGGGCACCTGGGCACGCGTGGTCCCCAGAAAGTGGCCCTGGAGGGAACCCCCCCGCCTGCAGATACCCCTCCCTGTGAAGGATGTAAAAAAAAAAACCAAAAAACCTTGTTTTGCCTTTTTTCTCCCTCCCCCTCCGCCCACCCCATGGCCCCCCCAGACTGCCTGCGCGTCGGCTGCGCACCTAGTAAGTGGCTTCCCTCTTCTTCTGCAGAGACCCAAGGGGTCTGGGACACTGGGAATTGGGATTTAGGGAGAAAGGGATGAGTGGGGGGATAGTTTCATTACTGGTTGTGAGGCCAGGTGTGTGGGGAGGGGAGCAGGCATGGGGTTGGGAAGGGGAATTATGGAGGGCAGGAGGGATACAACGGAATCAGGGAGAGGTAGTGGTGAGGATGCTTATGGATTCTGGGAAAGGCAGGGCCAGGACACCTCGTCTCCCAAGTCAGCAGCAGAAGGCAGAAATCTGGAGCTGGGTGGCATCTACTGCAAGATTACACAAAGCCTGGAGACATAATGATGCATCTCCATCAGTGACCACAAGGGGGCAGGCGAGGTACATGGGAAAGATAATTTGGGCAAGGGGCGGGGCATGCTAGGAGCCTCAAAGCCTAGTCTTTACTGCCGGTATACAGGGTTCCTGACAAACTCAAGACACCAGTGAGGGCTGTGAGCAGGGAGTCAGAAGGTCAGCGGATGTAGATAGGTCTGGGTCTCTCTGCCCCCGGTCTAGGTGCTCAGTCTCAGAGAGTCTCTGCACACTGTGCCTTGCAGTCAGATCATGGAAGGCGCAAGCAGAGAGTTCGTGTGCTCAGTGCCCCTTGTTTTATGTGGTTGTGGCACAGTGTGTGCATGCACCTGAGGCCTTTTAATGCCAGCACCCTGAGCCTCAGGCAGACTGAGCCCTAGGGGCCCAGGGCTAGCTCGGAGGTGCTACAAAGTCCTGCAGCATCTGAGAGATGTGTTCATTTATTGACAACCTCCCTGTCAATACGTGGCCAGTTTCCAAGGACCAGAACCTGGCTGTGGCTTTGCAGGCTCTCTGAGTGCTGAGTAGGGGAGAGCAGTTCCAGGGCGCAGAGTTAAACAGGAGCATGCAGCCAAGTGACAGTAGGGCCGAGCTGGCTTGCGCATGCAGAGGGTGAGGCGTGGGCGCCCCTCCTTTGGGGAGTGTTAGGGCTGAGAACCCAGCTGCTAGCGTGTCTGTGGTCAGGGCCACCGCTGGTGTCCTAGTCTACACAACTGGCATCCTTTGCAGTCGCACAAAATGACGGAACTGGGTTTGTGACCCCTGCATGCACTCCAGGTGTGAGGGGAGGGGCATACACGTTGACGTGAGCTAGAAGTGGAGAGTGCACATGTGCAGGTGGGCTCCTTGTCTGGGACCATGTGTCAGCCACGCTCACTCCCCCCTTGGTGCTGCAGGTAAAGGCCCCGAGACACTCTTTGCGGGGCACAAGCTGAACGACAATGAGTGGCACACCGTGCGGGTGGTGCGGCGTGGCAAGAGCCTGCAGCTGTCTGTGGACAACGTGACTGTGGAGGGTAGGTACCTGGACCCAGGGTGGCACACTTATTTCTAGTGACCTGTGGTTGCTTGGTTTTTAACCTCTGGCTGGGTTGTTACTCCTAGGGAAGTAATTGTTATGGCTCTGGACCCCAGGGACCATTTCAACCTCCTACATGCAGCCTCTTTGGGGAAGTTTATTGGCCTTCCACTGACTCCTGCAGCTTCTCCCAGCGTGGTGGGACGTTAGCACTGGCCCCGAACATCTACTGATGTTGCTTGCTGTGGTTCTGTGTCAAGGAGATGATGCTTCTGGGAACACAAGGCCCCATCCCAGAGGTGACTCGTTTGCGCACTGAGTTTCTCTCCCTCATATTGGTCTTCTGTCCTGAACAGGACAGATGGCAGGAGCCCACACTCGGCTGGAGTTCCACAACATTGAGACGGGCATCATGACAGAGCGGCGGTTCATCTCTGTGGTGCCCTCCAACTTCATCGGGCACCTGAGTGGGCTGGTGTTCAACGGCCAGCCCTACATGGACCAGTGCAAGGACGGGGATATCACCTATTGTGAGCTTAATGCTCGGTTTGGTCTGCGTGCCATTGTGGCCGATCCTGTCACCTTCAAGAGTCGTAGCAGCTACCTGGCTTTGGCTACGCTGCAGGCTTACGCCTCCATGCACCTCTTCTTCCAGTTCAAGACCACAGCCCCAGATGGGCTTCTGCTGTTCAACTCAGGCAACGGCAATGACTTCATTGTCATCGAGCTGGTCAAGGGGTGAGGGGCTGGGTGTTGTGGTGATGTCCCCTTGCTGGCTCAGATACAGCTCCCCTGACAACTGGGAATCTTCAAGGCTCCTAGATCTCAGGGCAAGATTTACACCCCTGGCCATCAGCCGGGAGGGCTCTTCCTCAGCCAAGATGGAGAAACTGAACCCTGATGCCAGGCTGCTGGCTCCTCAGATGCTTCCTTGCCAGGGTTCCTGGTTACATCCCTTCTCTGCCCACTGCCTTCTCTATGGCAGAAGTGAGCCCAGTTCTTCTGTTGCCCTGAAAGACTGCATTCCCCAAGCAGCTCAGACTCTGCTTCTGGGTGACCCCTACTGTATCACACAAACTCCCCCCCCTTTTTTTTTGGTCCTCTTGGGTCCCAAGAGCAAGTGCTTCTGTGACCACCTCCCTGCCCTCATCCTCCAGGGACAAGACTTCACGCCACAGCCCTTTAATGGCACTGCTCATGTTCCTTCCTGTGGCATCTCTTCCTCCACTTCTCCTGCCCGGGCCCCCCGCTCCCCCGCCAGCAGTAGCTCATTCTTTCTGGCATCTCAGCGGTCCCCACCTGATCTAGTGTTTCCTCCCTGTTGTGGGGCAGGTACATCCACTACGTGTTCGACCTGGGGAATGGCCCGTCCTTGATGAAGGGAAACTCAGACAAACCGGTCAATGACAACCAGTGGCACAATGTGGTGGTGTCCAGGGACCCAGGCAACGTGCACACGCTGAAGATCGACTCCCGCACTGTCACGCAGCACTCCAACGGTGCCCGCAACCTGGATCTTAAAGGTGGGGCTGGAGCCTCTGGAGAAGGCCAGCCTTAGCCCAGCAAGATCACCCCCCCCCGCAAGGGGTCAAGGCTGCTTCTCTTTCCTCTCCCCCAACCCTCTTTCCTGTTCTCCAATGTGTCTGACTGATGTTTCTCACCGGGGTCTCACTGGGCTCTGTGCAGCTTTCTCAGATGGAACACTGGGAGGCTGTTTCTCACCGGGGTCCCACCTCCTCCAATGACTCTATGGTTGTCATTGAAGTAGCCATTGCCAGCTGTCAAAGTAGGAGGCTGAGAGGAAGAGGAGGAGAAGAGGAGAAGGGGGAAGGGGAGACGGCGGACTGGGCAATGGAACAGGAACATGAGGCCTGCAGCAGTTCTAGAGTCAGCTGGGATCCATGCTGCCTTCTTGCACATGCCTGCAGCATCCCTTAGCCCCGCAGGGTCCCATGTGTGTCCATGTAACCTGGACTGTCAAAACTTGGGGGAGATCTTCAGAGACCAATGAATTTACCTCCTGAATCCCCAGACCCACTCGCTTGCACGACAGTGCTGCAGATTCTCCTTGCTCCCAGGAGAGGGCGATGTGGTACAGAGAATCGGATGTGGCCGTCTTCAGCTAGGATGCCCAGGGCTGCTGAAGCCAAGCTAGACATTGGTCAGGACTTCCCTTAGAGTCCATGTGGGACGTTAGGCATCCCTGGGGAAGACTTCTTCCCAGAGCCCGAAATCAGGAGGATTTCGGAGGGGAGAAGGCCGCTGAGTGGGGAAACAGTCTTTGGGATGGGAGAGCGGGGGTGGAAGGGATGTAGGGCTGCGCATCCATGAAAGGCCCTGATTACAGGCCGGAACTGGAATCCAACGTGTGGGAGAGAGCCTGGAGTGGGTCCCTCCAGCTGCCCCCACCCCCACTACCGCAGGCATCTGGGCTCCTGAGGGAGGGGAGTAGACAGATGGCAAAGGGAAGGGAAGGTGGAGAGTCTGCAGGTCCCTGTATCTGTTAGGGATACTGGGAGCCTTCCAGATGTCTGGGAGGACCCCGCGGTGGGATGCCAGCATCTCGGGAGGGGAATAAGGTCCAGGATAGTGGGGTGTTGACAGCACTCCCTTTGCAGGGGAGTTGTACATCGGTGGCCTGAGCAAGAATATGTTCAGCAACCTGCCCAAGCTGGTGGCCTCTCGGGATGGCTTTCAGGGCTGCCTGGCCTCTGTGGACCTCAATGGGCGCCTCCCAGACCTCATTGCTGATGCCCTGCACCGCATCGGGCAGGTGGAGAGAGGCTGTGATGGTGAGTATGTGCCAGGGTGGTGGAGCCCTGAGGCTTCTCGGGACTGAAGAAGCCTGTCCCAAGAACCCTGGGACAAAGAGGACAGGGAAGGGACAAGTCACACACTCTCCCTGTTGTCTCCAGCCCTGGCCTCTTGTCCCAAACCTAGCAGTCTTTGAATGTCCCTGTTCCTATCCCGTCCCAGCACCGTGTTCGGTATCTGGCCATTCTAGTTTGGTGGACCAAGGACAGAGACTCTCTGCCTGGCTGTGGAACTTCTGTAGCCCCTGGGGACGTTGGCTGAGCCCAGGGCATTTCTCCTTCGTGCTCCTTCCCAGGCCCCAGCACCACCTGCACCGAAGAGTCTTGTGCCAACCAGGGCGTCTGTCTGCAGCAATGGGATGGCTTTACCTGTGACTGTACCATGACTTCCTATGGAGGCCCTGTCTGCAATGACCGTGAGTTCCTGCAGGACCGGGCTCTGGGAGTTCCCATCCCTGTCCCCAGCCACAGGACCCGCCTGGGAGGGAGGAGAGAGGGATTTTGATTCCTTCTGCTCCATCCCACAGAGCCCATAGGTGCTTCCTAGTGGCTGCTGCCCCTCGCGGAGTCTCTGGAGCCATCGATTGACAGGTGGCCTGTCCTGGTTCTGAGATGGCAGATCATCGGATTTCCTTAGACATAGGCCCTCCATTCTCTCTTTCTCTCCCTAATGCAAGAATCCCAGCTGCAGGTTTTCCCTTTGAGCCACAAGGTCAGTCCCTAGTGTCCTCCCTTGCTAGCTTGCATATTGTTGAGGCCCCTCCCCAGAGATAACAGCTTTGGCAGCATTTTCTAGTCCCCAGTGGTTGGTGGCCATCAGCTGGTTACAGCTTGGCAGAGGGAGGACAGCTGGGCCAGACATGGGGGTTTAGAGGGGGGTGTGGAGGCTTTGACCTTTCTGATGATTGGGGATGGGGTGGGCAGCAAAGCACAGTGACATCAGAAGAGACACTCCGCCCCATGCACACATGAGAGGATGAAGCTTTCCTGCTCTTCAAACACAAAGTGCCTGGAAATGCCCAGAGGTAGTTATGGCAGTCCGAGGTGAGACCTCCTGCCTGTTCTCTCTCCTCTGTCTGGACCTGCATCATCTGATGGAACCCTGAGTCATTCCAGGGGATGAGGCTCTTGGGTGGCCATGGGCTTGTCCTTTGACAAAATGTCCAGCCCCTCTCCCCCGCTGATTCTCGGGTGTGGTCAGCCATCCCAGCTTTGTCCCCCAGGCGGTTTATCTGACCTGCTGTGCTCTGTGCCTCCCTAAACCTCCCAGCCAGCTCAAGACCACCTCAGCCCTGCTGTGTGTTCTGCTTGGCCTCATTCAGCACAGACCTGCTCACTGTAACCCTCCCCACTGGCAGTCCTGTGCCACCTCCAAAGCTAAACCATCCCATTTGATCCTACACCAAGCCTCCAGTCGCGGGGATTGAGCTTCACTAGAACCTGGGATCCCTTGACTATGATGGTTATTCCCGTTGCACATGGGATTCTGGGAATGGTGGTGATGCCCATGTTAGTTTTCCTTGCTTAGGATATAGGCAATCTGGTCTAAGTATGACTGTTCACGTTCACTATTATGCTTCAGGAAGGGGCCGAGAGCTGGAGGCAGGATGTGTGCCTAGAGAATTGCTCCATCTTTGGGCAGGGGCAGGAGGAGAAAGTTCTCTAAGTTTTAGGCTGGTGGCCTGGCTCAGCCTGGGAAATGCCATCATTCCAAGCACCCGGCTGTGTCTGGTGGCACAGTCTGTGCAAAGCTGTGGAGCTAAAGAAAAGGTGGGTGAAGTCTGGAGCCCCCAAAGGGCTTAGTGTTGTTCTGAAGGAGCCAGTGTGAGCTGGAGTTCCTCTAAGGTCTCCCCTACTGTAAGGGGGAGCAAGAAACTGGTTGGGGTGTCAGTCATGCCCCCTTTCCTCCGGGGCCTCTCCTCTGGGGTTTCGCCCATCGGGGGGCCCTATACAGCTGCACACCATCACACAGAAACAAGTAAAGACATTGGCTGTGTGTGAAGAGAGTTGGGGAGGGTGGGCAAGGTGGCAGGGCAGAACTGGCCCTCTGAGGGTGTTGGGAGCTGTCCCAATGGAAGGAGACTAGGAGGAAGAGAAGTCTGACCTTCAGGACAGCCTCTTCCCATCTTTTACCTTGGTTCCTCCATCTGTATCATGAGGGGTTTGTGGGGTTTGGGGAAGCTCTCAAGAGTCAACTGTGTTAGAGCAGCAGAAGGAAGATCAGTTGGAGAAGCAAGTAGAGAGAGTGGAACCGGGACTGTTGGATGGGAGGAAGGACGGGATGAACTTCTGCTGTCCGAGGCAGCCTCCTGCCTTTCCCAGGCTGTCTCTTATCATGGCTGCTTCTCCATCTCTCCTCATCTCTGCAACCTCTATTGATCTCTTGCACACCTCCGTCTCTCTCCTCTCTTCCCCTCTGTGTCTCTGTCTCCCCCACACCCCAGTATCACTCTCTCCAGTTCCCACTCACCAATATTGATCGGCCTCTAGGCGGTTTCCCTTCCTCTCCTCTGGCCACCACCACCAGCTCCTCCCTCTCTCCCTCTGGGGCCATAAATTTTCTGCCTGCTTGGAGCTGTGTCAGTCCGTACTCCAGAGCCAGGGGCTCAAGGATGGGAGAGAGTGGGCAGATGGACAGGACCTTGGGGACCCCACCCCACTCTCTCTCCTCCCTTGTGTGGCTAAGCCATCACTTGAAAACTGCTCTTGGGTACCAAGAGCTGGTCTCCACTTTTGAAGGGCGTGGTGTGTGTGGGTCACTGCCCCCCATCTAATAAACTGGGGGGAATGGCTGCAGCAGCAGAGGTGCTGTCCTGACCCACCCCTCCTTCCCTCCCTTCCTCCCGCCCTTCCTCCCTGTCTTTCTATCTCAGAAACAGAGTCTCAATATATACCCCAGGCTGGACTCCAGCTTGTGGCAGTTTTCTGCACCAGCCCAACAAAGTGCTGAAATTTCAGACATTAGACCCAACCAGGCTTGTCCTGACTGCACCCACGAGCTCAGGGATCACCATGACAAGTTTGCACCAAAATGGAATCGGAATCAATAGTAGGAGCCCCTCTCCCCTCCCCCTCCTCTTCCATTCACCTTTCCTTTCTGCTCACCTGTCCTCAGACCCGGTCCCCTGTGCCTCCTCCCCTCCTCCTCCTCTGCCTTCACTGCACCCTCTCCCTTGTCCAAGCAGAATGATGTGAGTGCAAAGGCTGCATCCCAATGAGAGGAAGGGATTTTATCTGCATGTATCTTTGGGGCCGTGACAAACACTTTCTAACCCACCCCAAGTTTGGAGAGCAGATCCCAGTGTAGGTGTAAGGATGCCTCCTAAGAGAGGAATGGTATCTTCAGCTGGATGTAAGTGAACCCACAAGGTTTTGTCCTTCCAGACAACTGTCCTGGAGAACCCTGGGGAGCTAGGGGCTGAGACTAAGGGAGGAGGAGAAGTGGGGAGGATAGGAGGGGGCGTTGGAGGAAAGGAGGAGGGCCATGTGTAGGGGTAGGCAAACACTTTGACAGGCAGGTGTGTGTGTGTGTGTGTGTGTGTGTGTGTGTGTGAGAGAGAGAGAGAGAGAGAGAGAGAGAGAGAGAGAGAGAGAGACTGAGACTATCCAGTGCCTTTGGGGCTTTGGCTAGGTTGTTTCTAGGAGTATGGATAACTGTCTCAGAGGGTGAGTTCCAAGGAGGTTGGGAGTGTATGTTGGCCATTCATTGCCTATAATCAAGCATGTATGTGTGTATGTACATATGCTTCTGTAAGCATTTGGTATGCCAGTATCTGATCACACACATGCACATATGTGTCTGAGCTGTGTGGCTCTCGGCACACTGGTGCCTATAGGGATGCGTGGGTGTTTTCATACCCAAGCCTGTCCACAACCCAGGATGCACATGTGTTCCAAGGGGTGCTTAAGAGGGCTGTGGCCACATCTCTGCTTGCTGGACCAGCAAGCACTTTTGGGGCTCGTCCAGATGGGGGGGGAAGGGGAGGGGGGAGGGGAGAAGGAAGATAGCTGCTTCTCTTGCAAGCCTCAGTCCTGTTCAATTATTCAGCAGGGCCCCTTCTCCAGGAGGGAGGCGGCGGTGGTGGTGATGGTGATGGTGGAAAGCGCGCTCCCGAGCGCGGGGGAGGGGTGGGGCGCGTGCATAGGAGAGGCGAGCGCGGATCGGGCTAGCCAGGTGCCACGCCGCGGAGCTGCCCAGCGCCGCCCGCAGATCGGGAGCCGCTCGGGTCCCTACGCCCTGCCCCCCCCCGCGCCTCCCCCCCCCCCCCCCCCCTCCCCCCGTCCCTCCCCCCCTCCCTCCGCCCCTCCCTCCCTCTCCCTTCTAGCCCTCTCAGCCTCTGCAGCAACACTCCGCTGCCTCCTCCATCTCTCCGCCGGAATCTCGCAGGCTCGCGCCTTTCCTCTGCTTGGCCCCGCTCCCCTCTTCTCTCCCCTCCTCTCCTCTCCCCTCACCCCCCCATCACCCGGATTTGCTTCCCTCCCCCTCCTCCCGCCCCCCTCCCTGGCCGCTCCCTCCTTCCTTTCCTGGCCTCCGTCGGGCGGCAGCGGCGCCGGGTCGGTTCCGCGGTGCTCGCGCTTTCCGGGGAGCCGGGCCTCCGTTCCTTCTGCGCACCCCATCTCCCGTCCCGCTGGGTTTTTCTGCAGGATTTCCCTACCATCCCCTCCCCAGCACCATGCCCCCACCCGCTGGCCGCTGACGGTCCTCTGCGCCGGCCCGGCCCCAGCCTGAGGGGGGACCCCTAGCCGCCTGCGATGGACCCAGGCACCCCGGACCTTGGCCTTCCCGCTGCGCGCACCCTGGATTCCCCGGCGGAATCCAGTTGATTTGCTTGGCTCCGGACTGAGGCTCCGGATCTGGTTTTCCTTCGCTTCACCCCTACCCCCCTCCCGGAGCTAGCAGCCGGAGGGGGGCTTCGCGGGGCCGCGCAGCCCCGCGTCCCCGCCCCCGGCCATGGGGCTGTGAGGTGGCCGCCCCCGGGCCGAGATGCCCCCCGGGGGAAGCGGGCAGGGGGGGTGCCCGCGCCGCCCCCCCGCCCTGGCCGGGCCCCTGCCGCCGCCGCCGCCACCGCCACCGTTGCTGTCGTTTCTACTGGGGCTGTTGCTGCTGCTGGGGGCGACCGAGGGGGCCCGGGTCTCGTCCAGCCTCAGCACCACCCACCACGTCCACCACTTCCACAGCAAGCACGGCACCGTGCCCATCGCCATCAACCGCATGCCCTTCCTCACCCGCAGCGGGCACGGTAAGTGGCGCCCAGATGCCAGAGGACTGGCTTGGGGGTCTCGGGGACATTGCCCCGGCCCCAGGAGCCCCAGGGCCGCACCCCGAGTGTGCGCTCCCGGATCTGGGCTTTGCGGTGGGGCCCCTTCACCTCCCATCTCCAGCTCCCATCGTGCCAGCCCCACCCTCACCTCCATC